TTTTTGGATGCTCCCTTACAGAGAGCAGACAGAAATGGGCCAGAGAGCATTCCCAGCAGTAGCTACCAGCGAGGAATGACCGGAAATACACATGGAAGTAGTGCGAGCGAAAATTGATAAAGAGAACGCAAAGAAACAAAGGATTGAGGAACGACAAAAGAAAAAGGTTGAGCAAGAGAGGAAGAGGAGGAAAAAAAGGAAGAAGAGCAAAGAAAGCTTCCTAATAAACAAATACCATGAACGAACTTTATCCCGGATGGGTAAACTTTCCCACAAATGGTTTGGATGATACCCCGAACACGTCGTTAAGCTCTCTATTATGGTTATTTTTATTAGGGTTGCAAGCAAGAAAGCATTATAACTTGAAAAGGCAATGGTAACAATGGAGAAGAAGCAGAAGAAAGTTGTGGAAAAGAAGCAATGAAAGATCTGTATTTTTATGATTATTACTCTCTTGACGTATTAAATTAAATTAAGTTATAGTCGTTATTTTACCAATTTTAATTTTCATGCACAAAACGAAAAACTAATCCTTGATGTCAGTTCATTGTCTTTTTTTGTTGATTTTTAAGATGGTTGTATTTTTCTTTTACTTATCCGCCATTATAGTGCTACCATCTTAGAAACCGGTTAATTTATCGCTTGATGCCAGTGGGTTGGTGGAGTTCCAAAGTATGGCGCATTAGACTGATGCAAAATTTGACTTTTTCGCTCCACAATACTTAAACGATTCCAAATCGGATCCTGACTAACCTCTCAAAATTTGAACCCCTTTGGTGAGAAACTGAGATGGCACAAACCATTTGAAGTTTGTATGGGAATTACTATGGTAAAACCAAGATTTTTGTTCATGTCTATCTAATAATTCACCATATCGGTCTGCTTCAAAACCTTTCAACTGTACTTGAGAGAAATTTTCCCAGCTACAACTTTGCCGAAGACCACTTTTTGATTAAATGCAAGGATCGAAAGTTATCAATGGTTCAATGCGCTGATGTCTAATGATCATGCTCAATCAACTGCTCAGCAGGCAACATTGGTGTTTCTGGGGCGTTGAATAGGACACAAAAATCATGGCTACACGGCAAGAAAAAAATACTCAAAATTAAGTTTAAAAAAACTCAACGTTGGGTTCTATCATTTGAGGTCTGCCGTTGAGTGAATCAGAAAAGCGGCGTTGGTTAAAATTTACTCAACTATTGAGTAATAATAAATGAACTCAAATATAAGTTTATTTTCATTGAGGTTGCTCTTATGCGCCTTTAACCTTTTCAGTTTTACAAGCGTTGATAGACGAGTGGTCAACACACGGGCCCCGTAATCTCAACGTCCATGGTTCGGTTCCAGTCTGCTCCGTTTTATTATTTTTTTGTCAACGATCAGGATTACTCAAAATTGAGTTTTCTTCTTTAACTTAATTTTACCTAGCCCCACGGAAGCCACGTGATGAGTGAAAGGAACTCAATTTTGGGTACTTTTTTCTTACCGTGTACTATGTCACACTGCAAAATACAGTGTTGCCTACAGAGCAGCTGCTTGATCATGTCATAAGTTTACCAATCTCTTAAATAATTAATAACTTTTTCCTGTCTCGTTTTACATACAAACGATCTTCAGCAAAATTGTAGCTGAGAAAATTTTCTTTAATAATGGCTATCGAACTGTTTCGCAGCTCAATATGGAAAAATACTATAAGGCAATGAACAAAAAGTTGAGATTTCCCATAGTAATTTACATGTAAACTTCAAATGGCTTGTGCGAAGTCTGTTTCTAACCAAATGAGTTGTAACTTTGGGAGGCTAATCAGGACCCGATTTGAAACCATTTAAGCACTGTGGAGCTGAAAAGTCAAATTTTGCATCAGTCTAATGGCGCATCTTGCACGTTATCACATGTCAAATTTCAAAAACCTCGAAGTTGTGATCGGAGGAAAACTCCAGTAAGAATATTTAACCCAAGGCACTGGTATAGAATAAAATTTGGAGGAAATTAATCCTTAAAAATGATATTAGTAAATGAATGACCCAAGAGTGTTAAAGTGACTATAAAAAAAAAAAAAAAGATATTAGTTAGCATAAAAATCCAGAACAGTTACCTTCTTAAATAAAAAGAAATCAGCATGGAGCATCAATTAATCGTGCACTGAATTCAACAATGTAGTCGAAAAAATGTCATTAGGATCTTTTTTTGAGATACAGCTTAAAATGAAAATTCACTTTAAACAAGTTTGATTACTATAATACTAATATTTCCGGTTGTAATGAGATTATATCAATTATTTTAACGCTAAATTAGAGGTAAGAAATTTTTTCGATCGATCAATTGAACATCAATTGTCAGTGAGATTGATGGTATTGTAGTTAGTTAATAGTTTGTTTTTTAAGTTTTCCTAAGAAAAATTGAATTTCTGCTAAGTTTTTAAGCAATGTGAATTAAAATGTTTATGGTGGTTCTACCATTACTTTCATGGAAAAATAGTGTTACAACGATCGAAATAAAATTTTATCACGTTTAATTTGGCGTTAAAATAATTAATATCACTGCATTGCAGCCAGATATATTTGTGTTTTAGTTTTTTTTTTTTAACGTGAGATTTCATTTTTTAGCTAGGGGAAGGAGGGGCATAACGAACAGGCGGGGCATAGTGAGCATCCCGTACTTTGGCTCTGGATCTCCAACTGCATGAAACAAATCAACTGGTAGTAGGATCAATATCATTAAGATATTGATCCTACAGCCAACAAATTTGTTCTGAACGGCCGGAAGTCCAAGCTGGAGCACGCGCGATGCTCACTATGCCCCACCTGTTCACTATGCCTCTCTTACCCCTATATCTCCAAAACTATCCTACCGAGATTTTTTTGGACTACATTTTTGGATTCAGCGCACGATTTTACATGGGAAATGACCATCAGCGTACAAAGTTCAAATATGCTGTTAACTAGTGTATTTAAACGGACTCTTAGCCAAGCAACTACAAAAAAAATACTTTATTCAAGATAGCAACACGTTTTTTTTTTCATTGATTTGGATCGATTTACATTCATGTACGGATTTTGATTCATGACTGTACGGATTTTGATTCATCCTCAACACAGTGTACGGATTTCGATTCAAAACTGTACGGATTTTGATTCAATCGTAGAACGCTGTACGGATTTTGATTCAAGATATGTGCAATTTAAATCCTTTTTTCTAATAATTAAAGGTAATTTTAAGACCTGGTGTTTGCAAATATTGGAAAAAGAAAGATAAATGTAAAGGAAAAAGATGTGATACAGAGCATAATGTGATAGCATTATTTAGTATTGACCGTTAATTATTCTCTCGTGCTTAGGTGTACGGATTTCGGTCCCGCACGGTATTCAAAAACATTTAGCCTCCTTAAAACATGTAATGAAGTTGGCGCTTCTGGACGCAACCCATAGATTGAAAAACGATGATCTACACTGCGCTGTGTGGAGATGATGGTCATAGTGTCTGTGGTGAAATCAGACAATAATTTTGATGTCTGCTATACTGATATGCAGGTATAGAAAAACCTATTTAAAATATTTAAATATTTGGCTAGTGATTTGTGCTTGCGGAAAGCGGAGTACACCTTTCGTTGCCGCCAGCACCATTAATGGACAGGTGTAATTGGAAGAGTGTCTCCAAAAGCGGCTTCTCCCTCTCCTGAAGGCTCACGATGGTCCGACGATCTTCTGGCCGGATTTGCCATCATGCCACTACACGAAGGACGTGCTAGAGTGGTATAAGGTGAATGATGTTGATTTCGTGCCGAAAGATCTGAACCCCCCAACACTCCAGAACTGCGCCAAATAGAAATATTCCTGGCCATTATGAAGGAGCACCTTCGAAAACGATCTAAAGTGGTGAAGAATGTAGAAGAAATGAAGAAAGCATATGCAAAAAACTGAGGTCGTGCAGAACCTTATTGCTGGGATTAAGGCCAAGGTTTGCGCATTCGAATATGAAATCAATTAAATGAATTATGCCAAAACTAATTTTAATTGTTTCCTTTTACTCCCTGACAATTTGGTGATATTCGGATAAAAACTCGAATTTTGAGAATGAATTTTGTGTGTGTGGATTTTAAACGGTACACCCTTTAAATAAGGTTTTATTTGGGTTTTTGAATTGTGAAACGGTTCGGTAAAAGTTTAAAAATCTGTGGATCATTTAAAAATGAGAAAAAATATTCCGAACTTGTACAAACTTAGTTCTGTTAACCCCATTGAAATATAGAAAATAATATTTGTCGACTCCGTTGATTCCTTTCGGATAACAATCATTTAAATTTTAACCGGCTTTTCAGCAATTTAAAAACCCAGTAAAAATACTAACTTCTTTCAAATAATCTAAGCGTGCATAAAGTTACCGAACACTAATCGAACCATAAATTATCCCAAACTTGCCGTTTTCCAATTTGTTCCATTCAACAGATCGAAAATAAGTAAAACACCAACTTCTGTTTTGACTTTAGCAAAACTGTTCGAATGGAATAAAAACAAACTCCAGCTCAACGGTCGACCCAATATCCCACCGAGACCAATGTACATCAACCGAAGCGAGCAGGAACGGTACCCCGCAAACTTTGCCATCGAGCATTTTTCCACCTCGTTCGGATCAAACGAGTTGGAGGGCTTGGGGGAGTGTTCCAACTGTTGGCTGAATCCAAAGTAGCTTATCTTAAAGGGGAAATCTTTTACAAACCAACAACAGATGGCAGATTTTCACTTTTTCATCTTTCCCCCGGGAATACCGAGTCGTGTGCGAAAACTTTTCATGTGAATAAATCAAAGGGAAACTTTTCATTTCCCGGTGCGCCGTTTTCATGCACGCTCTCAGCATTCTGGAAAATGGTTCTTCTGTGTTTTCCGGTCCATGATTGCGTAAGTAGTCGGGTTTTTTTTTTCTCTGTTCGTCACAGTAAAGAACCGTTTTGAGATTTGTTTGAGATTAATCTGTTTGTACGTGAAGATTTCTCGGTCACTTACCTCGTTCTGCTCGGAGGATTTGTCCTTCTGTTGGTGATCCCCGTTTTCCTCGTGATGCACTCCGTTGGTTTCGTCAATCTTATCACTGCAGATGGTCAAACGCTTCGGGGAACTGGCAGCGATGGAATCACTGATGACAGTTGGATCTGCCAGTGAGTCTGAACTTCCACTCATGGAGGAAGCTTTGTCCTCGTCTGACGAATCGCCTAGTTCGTAGATGTTTACCATGTGGGCTGCCTGGGCGTGAACCATCAGATCCCACGGGTTGGAGAACGAATCCTTGCAGGCCACACAGAGTAGTTTCGCCGATGGGGGGTTGCTTTCTGAGAACACGAGAAATAGCAGTTTAGATTAACGTTGATCCTAGAAGATAAGTTGCTGGTACTCACTGTTCTTGGTGGCAGTCAGTGGCGAAACGCACTTGCAGGTGAACCGGAGCTTGCAGTAGGATTTTTTGTGATCCAAAAGCTCGGTCAAATCCGTGAACATTTCCCGACAGTTGCCACAAATCAGTGTATCCGGATTGCCTGCAAGAGAAAAAGGAAATAAATATCAATTTCTATTCTGCTCCATCCCCCAACAACCGGATCCAAATATGAAAATCATTATTGACAACCCTCCTCCAGCATGGATGAATCTCCATCCGGATTTGAGACAACACACGTCTCCAACTCCCGCTTTGTTTTTGGATGAAAATTTACGACATAGCATTGCTTTTTGTTCTGCGGAAAGAACAACACCAAAATCCCGTGTATTGTCTCTTGCCAGAGTCCAAACACAGGAAAAAGTGCCACCGACCGTTAGAATTTCCATGCTCTCGTTTGGATTTCAGAGAGAGAGAGAGAAAAATACCCGGCGAAAAACAAAAACATCACCGAGTTTTATTTCCGTGCCTTTAATTAAAATATGAATATTTTATCAACTACCATCACTACACACAGAGCACAGGGTGGTAGCAAGGAAGAAAGGAAGTCGAGCAAACGGGATATTCGGTATCTCGTTCATTCATTTATTTGTTACAGTTACAAACAGTGATGGCAGCAAGTCGCAGGGCATCGTCTATCGCTTTTATCAACGTCGCGGGCGCTGTTTTCGTAAATAAGGGAAATGGCCTGCAGGTGATGGGGGGAGTTTCCACTGTCACCCTCTGGTCTGTTTTATTCTTCCCACGGACTGGTGATGCTGCTGTCTCAGCCGATGAAAGCAACAGTAGTGCAACCACACAGTGTTGGAATGAACGTGATAAATGGATTTAAGTGTGTTCAATGATACGATTGTTCTAAAGGAGAAGGTTTGGGGAAAGGTTTTTCCTGTCCAAGGTTAACAATAATTAAAAAAAAAAAAAACGTTTATCGTGTAAAGCGAAATAGCGTGTAAATATTGCGAGTGATTCAAATCAAATCCCTAATAAATCGTTCAGTTTAATTTCTGGAATTTATTCAAAACACCGTAAAATAGGGTTTCTTTGATAATGCGGGTAACTTTGGTAATGGGTGTTCAATAAAAAATGAGAATGTGTCGGCAGAGCCATCCAGCGCTCTTGTGAGAGCATCGTGACTAAGTTGAGTCGTACGGCTGACCAGGGCCCCTTCTCCAATATTCATTGAAGTTTTTTTTGAAGAATAAACATTATGTTTTTAATAAAAAATACTGAATCCGATGAAAAAAAAATTGTTTTACTAGCTATGACTGAAAAAATTCTAATTTTTTATTGAACACCCGTTAGTAGACTTATAAAATTTAATTTACTCACTGCACTATTTTTGAATTGGAAACATTGTTTCATTTTAGAGCTGAGAGTGTTACCTTTGATATTGTATAGATTTTTTTATAGTAAAGCCCTATCAATTTAGAATCGGTGCGCCTTCAATCGGATGTATCTCAGAATCTGGTTGGTTTTGAATAAAACGGAATAGAAGAAATTGTTATGTATTTATTGTACAGGGTGATTCAGAATAACTGTCACCGATTTCACAAATATGCAATTCTCAATGGGTAAAATGGGTATATGTTCAAGTATTTTTGTTTTAAGTGTGTACACATATCAGCTTGTATTCATAGTAGGATTTGAAATTTCATTCGTTTGTGATTTAAAACAGCCATTGACGTCCAAATAGAGCATGGCATAAATCTGTAAAAAAAATCGTGTGTTATTTTTTAGAAACTGAAATCTCTTCGAAAGAATGTAACATTTATTTTTGCATCATTATAGAGGTACAAAGGAACCATGCTTGGATAATCCGTTCAATATCAGAGCTTAAACGCATCACCGGGACTCAAAAAGTGTTGGAACTAAAGCGTGCGTGCCAGCTGTGGTTAATTTTCATGACAAATGTGGCTGATAATTAAGGTAAAGGGAGAGAGATTTGAAATAAACTATGCTTAGGTGAAGGTTATATATCCAGAATATCTGGAATAGGGGAAATGACGGCTTCGGCATGACAGACTATTTTCGGCAACCCAAATTGAAACACTATTTTCACTGGATTTTCTTACGAAAACACTTCGCTGAATGCATGCAAACGATCCTTTACGCTTTCAGCTTCAATTCGACTATATTTTTACCACTGAGAAAAAGCAATCTAGCAGGGTTTTCTTTAAATGAAACACACGCACTACAAATTGTAGCTGATTTCGAGTTGCCGATAATAGAACAGCAGATTTACATGCAGTTCAAATGGAACGGTTGCCGAAGAAAAACTGGTTGCCGACAATACTCGCTCTCACTAGAGAAGATTGGAGCTTTGTAAAAGCGTGTCAAAACAGTTTTTGACAATTCTTTCGACTGAAATTGTTAGAGCAGCTGGCAGCAAAAGATTGTAAGCAAACCAATACTGCATATGTGTGCGTTACATAGAGAAAAAGGCTGTAGAAAGAAGGTCGCTGCTTAGGATGCCGAGAATACGTAAATTCCCCTATAACGATATCAAAAATTCATGCAAGCGTTCAATCGTTATGACCATTTTTAAAAGGGACAGCTATTCCGAATCACCCTGTAGTTTAAAGCTACAATATGGGTTTTGCGATTTGTATTCCTCTGGAATGAAAATTCGATCTTGGGGCTTGATGCGTGCCATAAACTTTGGCACAAGATGCTGGTCAACTTCATCGACAGCTTTTTCCAGTATATAGACATTGAAACAGCATTCTTAGCCATTTTTCCACCATTCTTTAGCTTAGCTTTGGGATACCCTAATACACGATTCGATTGGGTGGAAATCCGGGCAGTTTGAGGGGTTAATCCCCTTCTCAATGACGTCTACTCCATTACCGCGATACCACTGTTGCGTATTCTTACTGAAGTGACAACTCTCCAAATCTGGCCAAAACTTGACGGGGCCTCGGTGGGACTTAATGAACGAGAATACACGATTTTTCATTCATTCGGTGATGTATAACTGTCCGTTCATATTGTTGGTTGTGATGAATATCGGAGTCTTCTGGCCACAGCTGCAGATTCCCTGCTAGATCATCAGCTTACCGGCAAGCTTCTCCGCAAAACCAAATTTATATTTTTTGGGAACACTTCTGGCAACATTAAACTTGAAGAAACCATCCCGAATGCGAACAGCACCGAGTTTGTTGGCCACATCCACGTCCAAAAGTCCTGGATTCGCTTTGAATGCCTTCATGACGTTCTGACGCGTTTCCGGTACCGCTTCGACGCCTTGATTGCACCTTCCGGGAAACAGACAAACGTTACTTGAAACGTTTCAGCATGTTTGGCATACACAGTTTTGGTCACGAACTGCTCGTTTGCTAATAACTTTGCACACAGTTGACGAAACATAGTTATTTGTAAAGCAGTAGATAGAATAGAGTTTAAGTTTGCTGTAGATATGTAAAAAAAGTAGATTTTAATTCCAGTAATAAACTGTATTTGCTTTTGCGTTGATGAAATGAAGTGAGAAATGCTCGCTTTACATCTCAGATTTTAAGCGTAAAAATTCATTGGTGTTGATTCAAATGTTAAGATTTACCTACTCTTTGCATATCTTTAGTCAACTTTGATCCTAATCTATCAATTACTTTAAAGAAAAACAAATTTCATCCACTGAGTGAAAAGTTATTAACAAATGAGCAGTTGGTGTATACTGTACAACTGTACATGCCAAGCAAGTGTTTCAGCACTGCACAGAATAAATACTTTTCTTTTTTTCTTCCGTCGCGTGGCAAATCAAGAAAATATAATTTAAAATAAAATTACCCAGGATTTCAATAGAAAGACATTGCAAACAAATTTCCGTCAAAAGATTCCAGAATCAATCACAAGGAGCACTGTACCGGACAAATTCTAAATTTGGGAGGGCTTTATGTTTTAGACATCCAAACATCTGTACAAAACAATTCTCTTGTCTTCAGCCTGTTTAAAAAGGCACTCAAACAATCATGTTTTATATATATTGCCGATATAGCCATCACAAATTGATTGTTGTCTTTTTATTTCTTATGATGCTTCTAATTATATACTCTTTTAAAGTTTCAAATTGATTGAGTTAAATTGTTTGAGCTTCACGCATATTTTTTCAACATTCAATACTCTATTATCAAATAAATCTCAACCCAAAAAAACTGATGATCAGTCACAGGACAAACATAATAGAGCAAAGGCAATAATAGTGCAACGAATTGACCCTTGGATCCACATTACTTGTTTAAAAAAAAGTACGAAAAACATTCATTGTGTAAAAATATCAATCTATCAAAACTAAAATCTACCAAAGTTACCTCGATTACATACCGAACCAGAATCATTTTGCTTACCATAAGTATTGAAAGTTTAAATACATTTTATAAAGCAAATAACTTTTTTTTTATCTATTTCGTATAATCGGCTCAATCTCGTTAGCTTTACGGAGCCGATAATTCATTGTTCATTGATTTTAACAAAATTAACTTAGTTATATGTCTAGTTGGAGTTGGGCCGAATATTCGCGCCTTTGTCTGAGGTTATAGGGGTACATTGTCCAAGAATAGGATCAGGGGAGGAGCTTGGGGGTGAGGTTTCGTTGTATCATCAAAGCGTTGTCGCCAGTATAAACAGTAGTACAGGCAATCTGCATCGTGCTCTCTTGCCGGGCGGATCTAATTGCTTTTTGCTGAAGGAAGTGTTACTCCTACCTGAAGCTACAACAAATTCAAACTGCATTTTTCAGTGCTCAATATAACCTTTAACATGTTTACCTTGTTTGAATCTTATTCCTCTTCGATCCTTGTTTGAACCCTATCCGAGGTAATCCTGCTTGGCCATCGACTTGGAAAATTCCTCTTCGTTCTGCGTCAGGAAAATACTGATAGGTGGATTGACCAATCAGGTAGTAAGGCTGGTTGGCGCGAAAACGTGGCGCATCATGCCACGTAGCTCCACCAATAGGAGACAGGTAACATAATTTTGTAATGTAAGCATATTTAGTCTTTAAAACGGTAGAGCACACGAGGCTCTACCTCTTTTTCATCATAAATGTGTAACCTGTAAGATCGGTAATAAATAGTGTTAGCATTAAAAGTTCTTTTTAAAAAGTGAACT